TCGACCCGGCGAATCTTCTCCGCCACGGGCAGAGCGGCACAGAACGGGCACGAGGCCTGCGGGGTCAAGGCCAGGCCAGCGTGGTGAGCCCCGAGACAGACCTCACACTTAGCGTGCAGGTCGCCGCTGGAAATGGAGCCCGTCTGGCAGGTCGGGCAGGGTCTGGTGTCGCTGGACATGGCTGGTAAGTCGTCTTCGGATAATTTGCTCTTTTGAGATAATATTTGCTCTTTAATAAAGCTCTCAAGCTTGGCATGAAGAGAAAAAGGAGGTGAGCAGTGGGGTCACTGCGGTTATATACCACGAGGGGGCCCACTATTGGTGGGCGTACATTTAAGCTCTTCATGATTGGCTGATGCGGAGATCATCCTTCCAATAGCAGCTAGCTTAAGGGCTAAGACTAGACGAAATAGAACCGGCTCTTTTGGCTCCCAAGTGGCTCCTCAGATTTTCTGTTGCGTAGAGTACATTTATAACCAAAATAATACTAAACTATATGTAAAATAATTTACTAATGTAAAAAAAAGCAATATATCAAATATTTATCATTTCTATGGATTTAATAACTGAACACTTTAAGAAATCTCCACTTCCCTACTGCTGGCGCTCATTTTCTCACCGTCTTCGTCGCACTCTCCTCTCTCTCGCTCGCCTTTTTCCTCCTCCTCATTCCCTCTCGTCTCCCTCCACCCACATGTGCTCTGCTGTGTGTCTGTCTGAGTCTGATCCTCCCTCTTCCCCGCCTCTACTGCTCTGTGTGTGGACAGTCTGGACACGCAGTTACACATGTTGACCAATCACATGTAGCTTTCACCAAGGCAGGGGGGGAGGGGGGGAGGGGAGGGGACGGCTCCCAATGACGAGCCGGCTCCCGTCGTTCACTTCAAAGAGCCGGCTATTAGAGCCAGTTCGTTCGCGACCGACACATCACTAACCCACACATTTATGCTTCTGAGATGATTACGATCACTGTGTTCACATGACTATTACACATCGCTCCCCTCACCCTCTGAAACAGACAAACAAATGTAGACAAGATGGAAAAAATATTGGTTGTTAATATCGGCCCGATACCGATATGTTAAAAAAATGACTAACATTGGCCAATACCGATATTGATGCCGATATATTGTCCATCCCTAGACTCTGCTCTAATAGTTTCTGGCAAAACTTCGACAGGAAACGATCTGTTTGGTTGATCAGCTCCGGGAAACGGTTCTGCAGCCTGACAGCCAGAACTGAGTCTTTTACCAACAGAATACAAGGCTCCTCAATCAGATCAGGCCCCGCCACCATAACTAATACTAGCACCAATTCACCTTGTTCACTGCATTACTCACATCTGAATCAACATATGCACAATTCACTTAGTCAACTCCCCAGCCTACCCCTTCATTCCACATGCTGATATCATGTTACATCCCTTTGCACAAACACTTGAACATTTATATCACTTCCAAAGACATTACTCGTACTTTTACTTCCAGACTCTGCCATGGTGCCAACTGAAAAGCAAACTTCTTCTTTTTCTTCTTCTTGTGCTTTTGACGCCAGCAAACTGAAAATGTTAACTGCACAGAAAATAGCTAACAGCCGAAATGCAGGTATAAGAGCACCCCCCAGAACACCTACCAAAACTGGTAAGTGCAGTGTCGGGCCAGCAGAGGGCAGCAGAGTGGTGTCCAATATGAAACTGGGCAAGTTTCTAACCCAACAATCACTGAGATCAATGTTAAAGATCTAGCTTAAAGTTTAAACACCTTTTGATGTACAATAATGTCATAACGACGTATATCAATGGATAGATGAACGGCGTGATAGAAAACAAATGGGTCAATAAAAAGTGAATTTTTTCAGTTATAGCATATTGGGTAGTTTAAAACTAGTATACTATAATACATGCTCCATCACCAAGCCCTCCCCCCTCAAACCAAAGCAGATGAAGAAGAAAATATCATTTCTATAGCGCCTCTCAAGATAAAAATCACGAGGCGTTTCACAAAAACAAAAAATGTAAAATTATAAAAAAGAATTTAGAAAATGGTTAAAATTATATTTAAAATGAGCAAAAACAGACAATTGTGATTAAAAAATGTTAAGAAAGAGAGAGAGTGAACAGGAAAGAGGGAAATCAGTGGATACTGAGGAAGGTGGAATAGGTGGGGAGAGCAGAATAAAGAGAGAGAGGTGAAGAAGGTCATACAAAAGCCAGCTTGAACAAGTGAGTCTTCAGCTGCTTTTTAAAGGAGACCACTGAGTCCACTGATCTCAGGCTCAGGGGGAGAGAGGTCCTGAGTCTGGGGCCACAGCAGCAGATGATCTGTCACCTTTGACCTTTAGCCTGGTGCTGCACAACCAGTAGGCTTTGATCACTGGACCTCAGGGACCTGCTGGGGGTGTAGGGACTAAGAAGATCACCAATGTAAGATGGTGCTTGTCCATGTAAGGCCCTATAGACCAGAACCAGGATCTTGAAATGAACCCTGAAGTTGACTGGCAGCCAGTGAAGCTGGAGGAGAAGCGGGGTGATGTGGGTGTGTTTGGAGGACTTGGTCAGAAGCCGAGCACAGGCGTTCTGAACCACCTGTAGACGGTTCAGGGAGGTTCTGCTCAGACATGTGAAAAGAGAGTTACAGTAGTCTAAGCGTGAGGAGATGAAGGTGTGGAGAACTGTCTCAAGTTCAGAGCGGGACAGGATGGGACTCATTCACTCATGACAAGATATTGCAGCATTGAGAGGTGAAGGAAATAAATAGTCCCATAAAAAGTTTATAGTAGTTCACCGGCACAACAATTTTTGGGTTTTTTACAAGTCTGACAAAAAAAAAAAAAAGACGCAACAGTCAGAAAAATGAGAATCGAGTAAAAATCCAGTCTGGTAACACAACCAACTTTTTCATCATAAATTAATGACATCATTTGGCCAGGGCTGCACTTAAGATATATTTTCTACTTTTTTTATATAATTATCAATAATTATTGATAATTATTGATATTGATCAATATGATTTTTTATATGCTTTTTTTTCAATATCGTCCAGTCCTTCTATTTAGTGTTGTTTTAATTCAATTCAAGTTTATTTATAAAGCGCCAAATCATGACAAGAGTCGTCTCAAGGCACTTCACATAATAAACATTCCAATTCAGGTCAGTTCATTAAGCCAATCAGAAATAATGTTTCCTATATAAGGAACCCAGCAAATTGCATCAAGTCAGTGACTAGTGTCAGTGACTATACAGCAATCCTCATACTAAGCAAGCATGCAGCGACAGTGGAGAGGAAAACTCCCTTTTAACAGGAAGAAACCTCCAGAGAATCCTGGCTCAGTATAAGCAGCCATCCTCCACGACTCACTGGGGATGGAGAAGACAGAGCACACACACACACACACACACACACACACACACACACACACACACACACACACACACACCATCACGCACACACACACACACACACACGTAATGTGTCTACAGTTCTATTGTGATTTCTTAGTAAATATTCTATTTGGTGAAAGATACATTTTATTGTATTTATCCTAGTGGATCTATAATTAAACGGGTAAACTAGTATTAGCACGTCCAACATCAAGGAAACAAAAAGTTATTATCAGGAGAGGGAGAATGTTTAAGTGGTTAGCAGCAGTGTGCTAGACGATGGCCCCCTCCATGAGGCCACCACAGCTCAGCAGAACATCGTTGTAGCTTCTTCTGGGGAGAAAAACACTTAGAGAGAAAATAAAGTTAACAGCTGAAATTGCAGGAAATAATACAGTTAAAGAGCAGATTGTAGAAGAAAGCAGTAGAGTGTGAAAAGTGGTCAGTGTATCCTCCAGCAGTCTAAGCCTATAGCAGCATAACTACAGAGATAACTCTGGATAATCTATCCTATTTAGATGGAGGCATGTTGGAGGCAGGGCAAGGGAGAGCCGTCTTTACCGACTGTACACTCCACCTCCCTCTACTCCCCCACTTGTCCTGATTTAGGCTAACATCAGATTTTAACTATAGGCCCTATCTAGTTAACATGACTCCTGTGGACTTTAGAGTTCAGCAGCTTAAACGGTATCATATGTTCAATACTGCCAATAACAAAGCGCCTCACTGTTTATAATACTATTACTAATATTAATAATGCATCTTATTTATAAGCTCCTTTCAGGAAGCCTCTGGCTGCTCTCCGTGGAGGATTCAGAAGATGTTGATTTACTGTCCGGCCCATAAAAAAGTCTCACATTCTCCATCAGTTGAGGTACTTCTGCAAATGTGCGCGCTCTCGGATGTCCAACGCCATTGGCTAACGCTGAGTGGTGCTCAATTCAAATAGCATGGAGCTCTACAGGATGGGGGGTGTGCTTAGCAAAATGTACTGACATCGCTTACATGACATCACAGTGCAGGGTAAGACTATCCCTTTGGATTTCTAAGAAACCCGACATAATTCCTGAAAGGGGAAAAACTTCGGGTTGCTGCTTTAAAGTGACTGTGTGTATTTTTCCTGGTGATAGGGGGAGGAGATACCTAAATCTTTGCAACTGTCACGTGATTATCACTCACCCAATCAAATTTTACGTTTATATTATTAAAATGTAGAATGTAAGGGTTGTGTTGATGTATAGAAAGTTGAAATAATCCAAAAAATGGCGCCGCAGCATGTTAAGTCCTGGCAAACTTGTTCTATGGCAGGTCTTAAACAGTTAATGGTGAAAGTTTAGTAATCGTTTGTTACAAATCAGTAAATGTGTTTTGTCCTCAAAGGCTCCCATAGAAGGAAACGTGGCGTCGCCCAGAGACTTCGACCCGCTCCCAAGTATTTTAGACCTGATTTTTCAACAACATTGTGGCGAATATTTCCAGAGATTAACGATAAAACTGCACACTGTCACTTTAAATGAGGTAATCGGCGTGTGTGGTTCCTTACAGACCGAACGCCACTTTAAAATGACCAAAATGTCCTTTCGACATGTTTGCTCAGGTTCTGTTTCTGCCTTTCTTGTAGCTGATATCTATGACAAGGTCTCAGAGGAGCTGGAGAAAGGAGGCCACCTGGACTGTGAGTGCATCGGAGGAGGGAGGATCAAACACGACGCCCAGGCCAAGAAGATCCATGTGTATGGATACTCCATGGTAAGAGGAGCTGCATGAAAAAATGAGACAAAGTTGCATAAAATATAGAAAACAAATCCTAATCAGTAGCCACGTTCACATGCGCATATTTAGTCAGATTGAACGCCCAATCAGATCGAAAATTCTGCATGTAAACATGTCAATCGGAATATTCTGATCCGATTCGGCCCGATCGGATTGAAATTTCTATCCGATTGAGAGAGGTGGTTTATTCCGTTCATCATTCTGATTGACGTGCATGTACACAGCCATTCGGGTTGTGGGGGTAAAATAAAGCCCACTGCGCTTGTGTGCAACAGCGAGCGGGCCTCTCCGCGGTCATTTGGACTGCCTGGCTTCAAAAACGACGGCGTAATTAACGAGCGGCGGCTTTTAACTCCGATGACAAGCCGTCCCCGTTTCAGTAATATTTAATTCAGAACTTGCATTTTGTGGAAGTAAAATAAAAATCTGATTATTGCACCAATCACTCGACAAACGTGTTCACATCTGTACTGGAAGTACGCGGGTTTACTGCGGGGGTCGCGGCGCACGGATCCCCGTTTCTGTCAGCTTTGAGCGCAGCAGCTTCTGCAGCAGGTGATGGAGACGCGCTTGTAAAGAACACGGGATAATCTGGGTTTTACTGACCTGACTGGAGGCTGGTGTTGGGTAGGAACACGTCCTCGGTTAAATACTCTGGACGACAGCAAAGTCCGTGTTAGAAGCACGTAAACGCAGATGACCTGAGATGCGGTTCGTTAGTCATGAACACGGGCTTCTACACTTTCTGAACATCTTCTGTTATTTTGTTTGAACAGATTTTTCTCAACAGTTTCAGCTGATCGTCACATGTTATTAATAATAAGCCACAACAGAGCTCAGTAATAAAACATGAGTCTGACCCCCCCCCCCCCCGCTCTGCGCCGCAGCGCAGCTGTCACTTCAGACCCGCGGACCAGCTGATCCAGAGGCAGAGACGTAGCCCTCCCTCATTTTAATCAACAATAAAATGCAGCAAATCATGTATGTGCAGTTATTCACTGAAGAAAACGTCACTTCTATGAGCTAAATAAAAATATTAAACTGAATAAATGGATCAGGACAGCAGGAAGAAAAGTTATTTCTGTTTTTACATTTTTCATTTCGCTTCATGGCGTTTGTTTACAAGTTTTCTTTCGGGAAAGGCAACTCTGCGCATGCTCAACCTATTTAATCGGATTAAACGCTTGGTGCGTATGTACGCACGGCATGGTCGGATCATTTCAGTTCGTGTCCATGTGAACAGAGATTCGGAAATTCCGATCAACCAAGATTTCAATGGGATTGAGGGAATTTGGCGCATGTAAACGCAGCTGATGATGGATGATGTTTGTGTTACTGCAGGGCTTTGGCAGAGCGAACCACGCCGTTGCCACAGAGAAGCTTCAGGCCCGGTACCCGGACTATGAGGTGACCTGGGCCAACGAAGGCTACTGAAGTGGAACCGGACTTAAATGGATTTTCAACATCCTGGACTAAGAAATGAACTTTTCCCTCGCTAACAGACAGAGTTTGTCTTTACAGTCTAATAAAAACCTTTTGAAAGCCTGTTAATAATACCTAACTAGTTGGGTTTTTAGTGAACTTTCTTTTTACTTTCATAAGAAGAAATCCAAATTCACACCCATGATAGTGTAACTTTATATTTGATTAAGTGAGTTCTCAATGAAAAGATATTTTACAGAGAAACCGTCGTTCTGACTTGTTCAAAAGTTTTTTACTTTTTTGTAAATTAGCCTTTTTTTCATGTTATTCCATGAATGTTCCCTAAATCGTGTCCTGAGCTGCAAGCATTATTTTCTCTGAAGCGCACGTCATTGAACTCATCTCAGTAGGGTGGGGTTTCAAATCTGCCAAATAATCCAGATTATCCTGGTCTCCGTTGATTGTGAGATACTGGTGAAATAATGCCTTGATGTTTACTGCTTGATGAAATGTCCAACTGTTGTAAACTCTCGCACCATTTGATGATGTTTTATGGCGAGGTCCAGGTGCATGCTGGGTGGTTTTAAAGTCCATCTGTTATCTGTTAGAATGAAAGGTCAGAGCTGAGAAGTTTTCCTGCACGTTACATTCAGGCTGATGTGGTTGAGGAAGACAGACGATGTTACGTAGGAGGTGCTCCGCTTTCCTTCTGCTGTTGTCGTTCCGGTTGGGTAAGTTGGATCATCGAAATACGGTGAAATTTATTCAAACGTATAGAAATAAAACTGCTGAAGTGAACGTTCAGGATTGAATATTTTGTTCTTTACATTTAAGGCCGAGCAGGAGCTGCGTATTTTAAAGTTTCAGTATTGCTTATTTAGCCTTTCTGAGGATTTTTTTAATGATTTAAGCGACTAAAGCCTAACAACTCCACCACTCCCAGCTTTTACGTTTCATATTGCCAGATTTTAGAGCTGTAATACTCGTCCATCATTACAACAGAACAAGTCACCCGTTCGACCTGCTGTGGGTCAGGGTAGAGTGGGCTACACGAGACCTGCCCTTCAGTAATGGGAAGAGAAGGACACGTTTGTGGAAGAGCCTTGAAATTTGGATGTCCTTCGTCACCGTTCCATCTAATCCGCCCTACGAAGGAACTCGGATACAGCCACCTTATGAGTCCCATTTTAAGCTCTGAACTTGTTCTTATGCGGTGGCCAGAAGGGTCTACAAATGACAAAAGCCACAATTTGACAACAAAACCTCAAAAGAAGTCCCGGTATGCTGATAGTCCACATTTAATGGGTAGAAACTGGATCTTTCTTCAGGCTCCCCCTTGGAGTGTAGGGTCCTTTCACACAAGCATCAGCTCCACTCTGCCTGGATAGCCCCAGTTCTTCACGTGTCTGAGCAGAACCTCCCTGAACCATCTACAGGTGGTTCAGAACGCCTGTGCTCGGGCTTCTGACCAAGTCCTCCAAACACACCCACATCACCCCGCTTCTCCTCCAGCTTCACTGGCTGCCAGTCAACTTCAGGGTTCATTTCAAGATCCTGGTTCTGGTCTATAGGGCCTTACATGGACAAGCACCATCTTACATTGGTGATCTTCTGCCGGCTCAAATTCACACCTTCCATTAGGGGAAGCCTCCGATTGGTGGGTAGAATCAGCCCACCCGGGCTTACGGGATTATCATGCTGATTACCTAGGAGCTGAGAACTTCTCTGACCGCATTCCTAAGCAAGGATGTGTGCAATCATCTGGGCCAGACTGAAGAAGAAAACATCATTTCTATAGCGCCTCAAGGTAAAAAATCACGAGGCGCTTCACAAAAACAAAAAATGCAAAAATATAAAAAAGAATTAAGAAAATTATTAAAAATTTAGTTAAAATGAGCAAAAATAGACAATTGTGATTAAAAATGTAAAGAAAGAGCGAGAGTGAACAGGAAAGAGGGAAATCAGTGGATCCTGAGGAAGGTGGAATAGGTGGGGAGAGCAGAATAAAGAGAGAGAGGTGAAGAAGGTCATACAAAAGCCAGCTTGAACAAGTGAGTCTTCAGCTGCTTTTTAAAGGAGACCACTGAGTCCACTGATCTCAGGCTCAGGGGGAGAGAGGTCCAGAGTCTGGGGGCCACAGCAGCAGATGATCGGTCACCTTTGACCTTTAGCCTGGTGCTGCACAACCAGTAGGCTTTGGTCACTGGACCTCAGGGACCTGCTGGGGGTGTAGGGATGCAAGGTTGGTTTATGCTTGACGCGTCCGCGAGGTCTGCGCGGCGAAATTGCGTCATTTTAATAACCACGCCCCTCCACCGCGTCTTTCTACTTCTACTATGGTGTAGTGTTGGATGGATGCCGTAGAGCTCCATGCTGCCCCCTACAGTTTGGGAGAATATTGGCTCACCGCAAAGACGAGCCGCAGGAACCATAAACGCTGCGAGTTGTGAAGCGCGTTCCATCCACGAGCCGCATCACCAAGCGGAAAGTGAATGCGTCAAGCATAAACCAAGCTTTAAGGGTGGTTTATGCTTGACGCGTCCGCAAGGTTCGCACGGCTCCGCATGGAAAAGTTGCGTCATTTTAACAACCACACCCCTCCACCGCGCCTCCGCACGGCCCAAAATTTCCGCAACGCGCACCTAGGACATTTTCTAACCACGCGGACGGTCGGACACGGAAAAACATGGCGGACCGGCAAGAACTAGTATGGCAGAGGTTCGTAAATACAGACATTTGTATGATTCAGCTCTCAGAGATCACCGTGATCAACATGTTGTTAATAATTCTTGGAGAGAAATAGCTCGCACTGTCGGAAAAGACGAGGACGCTGTGAAAAATGCTGGAATGCCGTGTTGTAAACAACAGTAATTTCTACTTCTACTATGGTGTAGTGTTGGATGCACGCCGTAGAGCTCCGTGCTGCCCCCTACAGTTTGGGAGAATATTGGCTCACCGCAGAAACGAGCCGCATGAACCATAAACGCTGCGAGCTGTGAAGCGCGTTCCATCCGCGAGCCGCGTCACCAAGCGGAAAGTAAACGCGTCAAGCATAAACCAAGCTTTATCAGTCAGCAGTGGGTGTGTTGGCTCTGGTCGGCCTGAAGCAGACCACCTCAAGAAGAGGGCTGAAAAACAGGCCGGCTGCACCCTGAGAAAAGGCAGGCTAAGGGAATGTGAACACTCTCTATGCGATCCAGGCGGAGTGGAGCTGATGCTAGTGTGAAAGGGCCATAGGTGAGGGCTTGCAGGGGCGCCCTGGCATCACCCTGTCGGGGAAGCCGGGCTCGCCCGTAATTCAGACCCATTTCTCTGAATGCGTCTTGTTTGTTCGAACCTTCATACTTTTTCTTACTGCCCAGCTGCTGGTTCTCTACAATGCGAGGCTCCTGAGGGGAGATGTGATTTTGTGTGTGACTGCGGTGACTGCAGCGATGAGCACAACTGTGGTAGGTTAGAAGGGTCAATAATGATTTATTTTGCTATCGTAAGTGGTTTCAGATACGCTGAAGCGTTTCTTTTGACTGTCTTAAGGCTACGCAGGAAGAACCTTTCAGTGTGACTTTGAGGATGCGGGACTTTGTGGATGGACGGCCGAGCCTTTGAGCCAAACATACACATGGGAGACACGTCAGGGGGAGGACACGCTGCCCGACAGTGGGCCTCCATCTGATTACACCACCGGCACGGCTATGGGTATAAACTGGTGTTTCCATTACGTTTGTAAAATACTGAAGTGGTTTAGTCATCCAGTAACGAGCCCTAGGTCTCCCATCACAGGAAGGTTCATGGCCGTGAGTGCGGTGAATGCAGAATCTCCTGAGACAGCGGTGTTGGTCTCCCCAGAGATGAAACAGTCTTCACCAACATGTCGGCTGCGTCTCAGATACTTCCTGTTTGATTCAGGTAACGGATTGCACCACGATGCTGTCACTTGATCAGCGTGTCACTCCTTCTACTGCTCTGACTCAGTGAGGTGTGTAGGTCACACAGGTTTAGGATCTGCACCTCTGTGGGCGTCCATCCTTCACCAGGACTCTCGGCAGGCGGTGGTTTGGCGCCCTGAGAGCTCCAGTGTGCGTAGCTGGAGGGAAGCCACCATCTTTCTTGGCCGCGTTTCCTCATCGTTTCGCATCCGCCTTCACTCGCAGCGCTCCGAGGGAAGTAAGGGAGACGTAGCCATAGACCAGCTGGAGTTCCTGGGCTGTGCTCTGCCTCGTGAGTCTCTCCTCTCTGTCTGTGATCTGTTTCCAAAAGCAGTTAACTAAACAAAGTGATGATGGTGGTTTCCTCCTCCATCTCATCATCAGAACCCATTCCTGGGGAGGCGTGTCCAGCAGGGATGTTCGCGTGTCATCACAGAGGCTGTGTGAGTCAGCTGCAGGTCTGTGATGCCAGTGATGACTGTGGTGATGGGAAGGACGAGGAACGCTGTGGTGAGAAATCATCCTAGTACACCTGACACAGAGGACACGTGCAATAATGCGAGGGACAGAAGACTTGCACGCTTTCCCATAAAGTACAAAGTTCAGTGTCAGTCCAACTGTGCTTCCACATAGCAGATTAGAGAAGCTGCTGATTATCGGGTTGCCACGGTAACGTTAAGAGCAGCTCAAACTGCAAATCCACTGCAACGTTGCCTTGAATTGCTGGTTTGCAGCACTCCTGCACACATGTGTGTGATGTTGTTATACAGGCGAGGCGTAGTCTTAATGATGTTTAGTGTTCTGCTAAATAACAAGCCGGTCCTCGGTTTGTACTCGAGTCTAAGAAACATCCAAGTGTTTTGTGTCATTTGGCTTGTCTAGAAATCCAGACAAAACCACAGCAGTGGCAAAAGATTTGACTCTGCAGGTCGGTCTAGTCACGCTCCAGCGTAGCCTCAGCAGGTCTACCATTAGCCCGATACCGAACATGTTCGTCAGGTTTGATGCACAAAGTCCCTCTCACATAACAGTTTCAGTATCCTTCCAGAATGAGCCATTGAAGGGCTTCTGTCACTGAGAAAACAAGCTGGCCACGCCCACCCACCCCCCACTCGGGCTGTTATAGGGAGCCTAAGTCACTTCCGCATCACGGGTCCCCGGAAGAACAAAAAATTGAATGCAAGTCAACGGACTAAAAACGCTATTTTCCAATTCCGCTTTGCCTTACGCCCTGCATCACACGCATGTTGTACGGCAATTTAAATGAAAAGTAATGACGGGTGTTTCAACCACGCCAGTCACGTACTCTGAGATTTATCAGCGTGTAAAAGTTGATAATTAGCATGACTACAAACTAGAAATCGGCACGTGGCATATGTGATGTCACCACATAATCTCCTCTCCCCTAGCGTAGCTGCTACTCACCACATGACCAGATTTATGGTGGTTCTCTCCTCCTGTGGTTCAGGTGGTTCAGAACGCCTGTGCTCGGCTTCTGACCAAGTCCTCCAAACACACCCACACAGGGACATTGCTAGCTATTTTGGTGCCCTAAGCACAAAGGCTTCGGCCCCCCCCCCCCCCCCCCCCCCCCACCCCCCCCCCCCCCCAGCAGAAAAAAACAACACAATAACACAGTATGTGCAAGCGCTTCGCCTTAAATTCTCTTTAATTCTCTTGTATGTACAAACTGAGTATTATTTCCAAAAAGTAGGATGGATATTTATAAAATATAACGTACTCGACACAGGAACTCCATGTTGTTGTTATTTAGAACTATGTAACAGGTCCACACACCACGAGCACCGGATGTGGGCACGTGTGTTTCTCCAATGATAAGCCTTCTCCTCCTTGAATGTACTTGTTCATTGAGCCTGCATTCAGACACAAAAAGATCATTTGTCATATTCATTCTACAATAAGATAAAAGTTTTAAACCATGGTAAAAAAAAATACTGCAATAGATTATTTATAGGTTAATATTGGCTTATAAATCACTGACATGTGACATGACTAAATTCAAAACTATTTAACCTTTATTAAGAACTAGAGAGGCACAATATACACATTTTATACACAACTGGAACATTCTGAATATGAAGGGAGGAGGTTAGCATAATTCTTCAAATTATACCATCAGCAGCTGATGTTCCTCTTGGCCCGTAAATGTGTATGAAATATAAATCAACATAGAGCAAATACCTAATTAGAAAATAGGTTAGTCTAATTTTTCATATTAAATCTCAGTTACATAGCCTATAGGCCACATGGGCTATTTAATAATGATATAAATCATGTCCATAGTTAACTCATGATTAATCACAAACAGCCGCTTATTTAAAAATAAAACTTCTTACTTTACCTTGACGGCGTTTTTGTCCTTCCTGTTTTTGTGATATTTAAGTATTTGGGTGGACAAATATGATTCATTTGTTTATTTCTGTAACAAAACCGCACAGATGGGCCTATCTGACCTCACAGAGGAAACTTTATTTTACTTGAGAAAGATGTTTTTAGATGAACAACCTTTAACACTGTTCAGACTTATTTGTTGATACAAGTCACATGAACAGGCTGAATAAAAGGATATTTCCATTTGTTGCATTTAACTATTTCTTCTTTAAAAAAGTGCTGATTCAGAAGAGAATGACTGCATTTGGGAAGATGATGACTTGCTACGTTTTTTCTCCAGCAGTAAAAAAGCTCTAAAGCTTCTCTGAGTTTCTCTCCCTCTCAGCCTCTCTCACTCAGCTACTAATGAACGCCCGGTAGGCAGGGCCAGATTAACACTTTGTTGTACCCTGGGCAACAATATTCAAGGGCCCCATCATCACGACCCAGTAATCACCATAATGTGGTCACATACAGAATATTTTACTGTAATATGCAGTAAATATACTCAATACTTGAATGCCTGACAACACGTAACCGGCTCAGGGTAACCTTTGACCCACCTCGTGTGGACTGACCAATGAGGAGAGGGTCTTAACTTGAGGCCCTCTCTTCATTGGTCAGTCTGCATGAGACTGACTCTCAGCTGACGTTCAGTCATAGGCAGCGAAGCGTCTCTGTGCAGCGCAAAAGCCCGGGTGGACAGTTTGTTTAATGTAGGGTGATCATATTTCCATTTCCAAACAAGAGGACAGGGGATCTGTGCCTATGACGTCACACTATGGCAACGCCACACAAACCATGTTGGGACCCATTTTTTGTAAGAAGTAAATTAACATCAGATTCTGCCAATAAAAGGGCTCTAAAACAATTCATATGTAAATATTTAGCATATTTATTGCAAAATCTCATTTTTCTGCTTTAGTGCTGCAACAAGGTTTTATTAATAATAAATTATTATACCTTTTGTTTTACTACAGCATCGGTACGCTTCCTGTGCACAGATTATTAAGGATGCTTGTTTCAGCTGTGAGATTAGACGATAGGGTCAATGAAAAAATAAGTTGTCACACACTCCATGGAAACTTTCAGAGAATCCACAAATAGTGGCTTTTAGATGGTTTTGTTACTTTTAGCAAGTTTAGAAAAGCAGCAGATGAGACAGCATGTCTGATAATTTAGTTTTTCATCTGATAATGTTAGAACATGTCAGTAATGTCTGAGGGGACTTTATAAACACTGTATAACTAACACTGCTGGAGAGGGTATGAATTACACAGAGGCTTCTGGGGAGCCCAGTTATGGGGGGGGGGGGGGGGGGGGGGGGTCATTTTGTCTTGGCCCCCAAAATGTCTTGAAACGGCCCTGGGTGTGTGACTGAGTCTTGAAGGTGATCTGAACTGTATCAGATGTATAAATATGACATGTGTATAACTTATTGTTTTATAGGTAAAAACACATAGTAGAGATAAATCTACCTACATTTTACTTTTCAACACTTTGTTTTGTTTTCTTGTTTTGATTTAACTATATTTTCCTGTCCTGTCTGTCTCTCATCTTCCTGCATCTCCTCTAAACTCTCCAGAAAAACTGCTGCCTGGATTCTTACTTTTTCACCTCATCAGTTACTTCTGAGCAGATCAAAGATCTCCTGACTGCAAAGCGGAGAGCGCGTTTGATGCTGCGTCAGTGAGGTGAAATCACCGCAGCACAGGTGATGAGCTCCACAGTGGCAGAGCGCTTCAGGCAAAAATAAGACAGAAAGTAGAGAACATGTGCGGACATGAACGATCGTGTGCTAATTATAGTTTTTTGGTTGCGCCACTTTGAGAATGGACCGTGCGCTGGACGCAGCTGCCTGGATCGCTGCGCAACAACACAGCGCTGTGCCGCTCTCTGTGCTCTCTGCTCAAAAGAGTCCATAAATGATGTCATATAGGTAGAAAACCTTTGTCCGGCTCCCCTGGATGTGTAGGATATCAGCTCCCCATAATCCGATCCCTGCTCCTGGATGAAAAGCCGAACATTTTCATCAGAACCCCCAGTCCGGACGTCCTGGACAGAGAGTGAAAAGTGGACACGGTCCATCTCCTTTCCTTTTTGTATTGTTTTCTCTCTGTAAACATGCTGTTAACTTGCTTTGCACATCTTCTAATTGAAATCTGTCTTTATCATATGATTTTTCCATAAGCTTGCGTTTGGTGCCCCTCCCCGTTCGTGGTGCCCTACGCGCTGTGCGTGGTGTGGGTGTGCGGAGCGCCGGTGTTCTGGGAATTTCTCCTACCCGGTAAACCGTCCAACCCGTTGTTACTGAGCATGGGCGCGCATGTGCACAACACAAAAGGGGAATGCTACTCCGCTGTCATATTTGCAGGAAAATAGATAATTAGTAAGTATTAGTACTTTTTATTGATGTTGATACTTGATTTTTTTTTGGTTAGGGTTATGGTTATGGTTAGGGTTTGTGTCATGTAAAACACCGTAAAATTATCCCACGGGTAGGACGTTTTGCCAAAGTAGGACGTTTTCTCAGAACACCAGCGCTGCACCCACATCACCCCGCTTCTCCTCCAGCTTCACTGGCTGCCAGTCAACTTCAGGGTTCATTTCAAGATCCTGGTTCTGGTCTATAGGGCATTACATGGACAAGCACCATCTTACATTGGTGATCTTCTTAGTCCCTACACCCCCAGCAGGTCCCTGAGGTCCAGTGATCAAAGCCTACTGGTTGTGCAGCACCAGGCTAAAGGTCAAAGGTGACAGATCATCTGCTGCTGTGGCCCCCAGACTCTGGACCTCTCTCCCCCTGAGCCTGAGATCAGTGGACTCAGTGGTCTCCTTCAAAAAGCAGCTGAAGACTCACTTGTTCAAGCTGGCTTGTATGACCTTCTTCACCTCTCTCTCCTTATTCTGCTCTCCCCACCTATTCCACCTTCCTCAGGATCCACTGGTTTCCCTCTTTCCTGTTCACTCTCTCTCTTTCTTAACATTTTTTTAATCACAATTGTCTGTTTTTGCTCATTTTAAATATATGTTTAAACATTTTCTAAATGCTTTTTTTAAATATATTTACATTTTTTGTTTTTGTGAAGCGCCTCCTGATTTTTATCTTGAGAGGTGCTATAGAAATGATATTTTCTTCTTCTTCTGTGCGAAGTTTGCTGAACTTCCAGCTCTTTTCCTTCAGTTTTCTCCGTGTCTGGTTCAATGACATCACTTTTGTGAAGCACATTTGTAGTCCTGGACTTATTTTTCACACAAAACCTAAAATATCGTTCCCCCGTTCGAAAATAAGTGCATTCTTGGTATCAAAATGCGTCTTTTAAATTCATATGTGAAAGCAAATCAAACCAATCAAAGATACTTTATTAATCCCAGAGGGAAATTAGAGTTTCAGTACACACAATTCAGAGATCAGACATACATGGGCAAGACACATGACAAGAATTGGTGACTGTGGTCATTCACAACCCTGAGTCGTGCTACCTTAATAGAGATCAGAGGGTTACATGAGGATTGGTTCAGGTGGAGGGGAAAAAAAGGCACTTCAGAGTTACCCTCCAGCAGGAGGGCAGCTTTGCACTAGGTGGGGTGGTGGGTTGGGACTATCCCCACTTCAGTTCCTGCAGCCACGATAAGCAGCGCATGTCACCTCAGTGTGAATAGGGGAGGAGCATTGAGGGTTGGAGGGTTGCAGTGACCCTGGAACGTTTCAGCGGCCTTCCCCTCAGTCCCGCCCAGGCTGGGAAAGGAGACAGAGTTGAGTTGCCATAGCGACGGCACATTCCACATATCTTCTGAGGGGGGAGTTTTCGTTGGAGCCTTGCAGGCTCAAGGACGCCAGATTTCGATTAGAAATTGTTTTGGGGCCAGACAGAGATCATTTCCTCTCTGTCTTACAGTTTGTTGGTCCTCAACCTCTCAGAATCCCAATAATGATGGACGTTAATCTATCCCAATCCATGCTGATTCGTCCACTCTCTCCTTGATGGCATCCATCTTTGTGCCAATGAATGAAACTCGGCCAAAGTTCCAAGCTTACAATTCATCTCGACAATTATGTGAGTCTGTGAATTCACAGCGCGGTGTAATCCATCCCTGAGCTCCGGGATCAGGCCAATATTCCTCGACAGCTCGTTAATTTTCCAGTAAGACAGGTAGCCTCCAAGGCCAATGAGCAGGAAACCCGACACCACGAATATCCACACGTCTTCAGAGTCATCCACAGACATCTGAGATAAACAAATCAAGTTCCACTGTTTCCAGGAGTCCATGATGTCCAACTGGGTCTGTCCCAGAGGGGCATCCGGGAGCCCCTTCTCCCTTTCTCATTGTTGAAAAAATTTTATCAGTCGAGTTGAGAGACCAACTGACGAGATCCACTTTAGTGAATTTCAGTTTCCAATTTCCAGAAAAAATGCAGAAGCAGCCGTGCACCAAGCACACACAGACAGACAAAGGCCTTGAGGATAAGATATGGAGGAGAGGAGGAAAAAAGCGTCTGCACCCGTCAAGAGCCGGAAGAAATCCATGGCACAAAACAAGCGGAATTGGAAAATAGCATTTTAGCCCCATTGACTTGCGTTCATTTTTTCATTCTTCCGGGGACCCGTGATGCGAAAGTAACTCAGGCTCCCTGTTGACCCTTAGCGTGTGATGTCACATCACTCATGGGACCGCCCCCTTTGCCACGATGAGTTGCAGAAAGACTGTTTACATTGGTTTACATATATCGAAAGTCCTGGGAAACTAGTAAAAACAAGCCGGCTTGCAGCCTTTTATCGCTTTTATCTAGTTGTTTTCACAGTAAAATGGTGACAGTTGTCTGTGCGGTTGGCTGCAATAACAGACTAACAGTCTGTGGCCACAGCCCAATACTCGCACTGCGCCCTATGGCGTTCTGTGAAGAGCACTTGGAGGAAGCAGTAGGGTTTGAGTGCGTAGTACAGAAGTTTCCTGAATTGGGGCAGGAAGCATTGCATCAGCGACTGCGATGCCTGCTGGGATGTCAGTGACTGTTTTTGCTACTATAAAAAAATCTTTATTAACAACTTTCAAACAAATTTAACTAAATTTACATTAATCGCTGTTCACACTAAATCTAAAACATTCAGAGCATGAATAAACATCATTAATCGTTCTAAAATGAACTTCTTTCATTTGAAAATACATATTTTGAGAAAAGGCACTTCAGCCATTGCTCCGCCTTCTTCTCAAAACTCCCACGCAGCAATGGATTGTGGGTAATACCCTTGCCTGAAGTCTACATTGATGTGAGTGGACTTATGGGCTCGACACACGGGAGGCGACATCACCTCTCCTCCGTTCATTTTCAATGAGACATGCGCGACAAAGCGATAATCGCGGGTCTCCCTCCTACTAAGCGAAATGCAAAAAACGTGCATGTGAAATTTTGTGCTCGTGCACGTTTCGTGCACAGGCGACCCAGCGACGTGATCCCAGAAAGTAGAAATATTTCCAACTTTTCATCGCTGTCGCGCGGACGAGGACCAATCAACGGAGGTTTCATTCACTGACCAATGAGTGGACAGGATGCTCCGTACATCTCCGAGCAAACATGGAGGAGTTGATCAATCAATCAATCAATTAATCAATACTTTATTAATCCCAGAGGGAAATGAGAGTTTCAGTACACACAGCATCTGTCTGCATTCCTTTGTGGGGGTTTTTAGTTGCTTGCAGCTCAAGGCTGCCAGGGCGTCAGATTCAGATAACAAGACTTTGTTTGGGTCAGACTGAGATAATTTTCCTCTCTGCCTTCAGTCTTTAAACTGATCATTTCCAGTCCTCCAGTGAAGCCAATTTTGGGTTTTCAAACTTGTCCATACCCTCCGATGACCCTCTCCGAGATGACATCACTTTTGCGCACTAATACCGGTATCGCAGCTAGAACATTGTCCAGCTTACGATTCACCTCGAGTAACGTCCCAGTCTGTGAGGTCTCCACACGGACGGTGCTTTCCGTGGGTGCGGGTCGCCCTCCAATCGCTCCCGTCTTCCCAAATTTCCAGAAAACCAGATATCCTCCCACTCCAATCAGGAGAAATCCAGTGATCATCAGGCCGAATGTCCACACGTTTTCGACATCCTCAATGGACGCTTGGCTGAGGCATCCACTCCCTCCAGGAATCCAGCATATACCCCGCCGGGTGTGTCCCCTGTGGGCATGTGGGAGCCCCCTGGTCCGTTATTGTTGAAAAAATCTTATCGATGGCATTGAATGGCCAGTTTATCAGATCCATGGTTAGTGAAAATAGGGTTTTTCAGAAGAAATGCAGAGAAGCGCTCTGTGGGCAGACAGGACAAAGAGCCTTGGGAAAAAAAAGATAAGGGAGCGAAAGAGGGAAGCGTCTGTACTCCTCGAGTGCCTGAAGAAGAGTGCCTTGCTGTGACGGATTTCCCAGAACTGTACAATATTTCTACCAAAGAATATAGAGATATTCAAGAAAAGGCCACGGCATGGGAAATTGTTGGTGCCAGCACCTTATGAAACATCATATCTACCACTTAATTAACTCTGAACCGCTTAAATAACCTTAATTCCCTCCAACCTGACACAGCCAAGCAAAACAACGGAAGATTCGATTTCGCCATGGAACACAACGCGTCGACTGGCTTTGCCGCTACCGCGGGTCTTCTCCCGTGTGTCAGGTAATAAAAGCAACAGCGACGAATTTCGCTGATTGTGGTTGTTTGTCGCCTCCCGTGTGTCGAGCCCATTGGACTGTGGTAGGGGGGTGACTTGCACTTTATGTAAAAAGTTCCTAAAGATATGAAGACATTTAAATTAAAAGTAAAACATTTTTAACTTAGAATAATCTGATGTCATTATTATAATTATTATTTCTTATTGATCCCCAAATCTCCCAATAATCGTTTGGAAATGAATTTGTGCAACGACTAACGGGTATATTCCAACGCGTTCCAGGCCTACTCTAACTGCTTGTACTGTGTATTTCTCTGGTAATGCTTTCACAAAAGAAAGGTCCCGATATCTTTCCAAAACTGGTGTTTCTTTAAAAACTCTTGAGTGTTTAAAACATTTAAGCAAATCAAATAAAATAATTTTTAATTCTGGACAGTTCTAGATGAAGTCGAGTTAAGGAGTTATTTAATGTTATTTTGGTGTTTTATCCTGCAGATTTCTACCACCGGTGTGACTTTGAGAATGACCTGTGTGGTTGGGACCTGAGGTCCATTTCCAAACTGAAATGGATAAGAACGAGTCAGGAGAAGATCTCTAGATCTGACCCTCTGAAAGGTCCTGGCAGAGATCACTCCAGCAACACGGCGTCAGGTATTCTCCGTCTGAACAATGATCTGTTCAGATCTAGACTTTGTTGTCCTGCGACTATTAATATTTGGAGCAGCAGTATCTCAGGAGGTAGAGCGGGTCGTCCAGTGATCGGAGGGTTGTGGGATCCATCCTGGCTCCCGGCAGCGAATGCTGCTGTCGTGTCCTTGGGCAAGACACTCAACCCACCTTACCTGGTGGTGGTCGGAGGGACAGCAGCCTCATATCTGTCCCCAGCACTCCAGGGCAGCTGTGGCTACACTGTAGCTCATCACCAACAGCGTGTGAATGTGTGTGTGAATAGATGAATGTCTGTGTTGTAAAGTGCCTTGGGGGGTTCTAGAACTCTGGAAGGCGCTATATTAAATGCAGGACGTTTACCATTTTTGCCATTTGATGTTTTAAAGAATTACCAAACCAATGAAAAGTCCATAATTGTTCTTTTATTGTGACAGGTCACTTCCTGTATGTCACCGTCCCTGATGCTGGCCTCACCTCTGATTGGGCGGCCTTCCAGAGTCCACCCCTGCAACCTACCAATAGCTCACATCCGTGCAAGGTGACCCCCGACATCACTCCTGAAACGATCAGCTCTGCTCACGATCTGATTATGGTGATCTCTGTTCTCCGTAGATGGTGATGTACACTCACCAGTTCAGCCCCAGGTCCGGAGGTCTGACGGTTCTGGTGTCGCATCGTCAGATCCAGCCGGTGTGGGAGAGGGGCGGAGCTTTAGGGGACGTGTGGGTGAAGGCGGCGGTGGACATCGTGTCCAACGAAACTTTTCAGGTGGAAAACTTTAAACACCAAAGCTGGAGAAAAGGTCCAGATGTACTCACTAAACCTTAAAATGAACTAAACCTTAAAATGAACTGAACCTTAAAATGAACTAAACCTTAAAATGAACTAAACCTTAAAATGAACTGAACCTTAAAATGAACTAAACCTTAAAATGAACTAAACCTTAAAATGAACTAAACCTTAAAATGAACTGAACCTTAAAATGAACTGAACCTTAAAATGAACTAAACCTTAAAATGAACTGAACCTTAAAATGAACTAAACCTTAAAATGAACTGAACCTTAAAATGAACTGAACCTTAAAATGAACTAAACCTTAAAATGAACTAAACCTTAAAATGAACTAAACCTTAAAATGAACTGAACCTTAAAATGAACTAAACCTTAAAATGAACTAAACCTTAAAATGAACTGAACCTTAAAATGAACTAAACCTTAAAATGAACTAAACCTTAAAATGAACTAAACCGTAAAATGAACTAAACCGTAAAATGAACTAAACCTTAAAATGAACTAAACCTTAAAATGAACTAAACCTTAAAATGAACTAAACCTTAAAATGAACTAAACCTTAAAATGAACTAAACCGTAAAATGAACTAAACCTTAAAATGAACTAAACCTTAAAATGAACTTAACCTTAAAATGAACTAAACCTTAAAATGAACTAAACCTTAAAATGAACTAAACCTTAAAATGAACTAAACCGTAAAATGAACTAAACCTTAAAATGAACTAAACCTTAAAATGAACTACACCTTAAAATGAACTAAACCTTAACAGCTGCGCATGTGTCTGAAGCTTTTAGGCTCAACCCCGAAATGTAAAATAATCATATTAAAAATAACAAATCTAGTTGTTAAAACTGAACTATTTACTTTTAATAACTTTTAAAACTATTCATGCACATTATCATCGTATTACAGAAGAAAATTCAGCCGCAGCCCACCAACTGAAGCTTTACTTTCATTGGATTTTTACTTTGGAATGTTTCTGTTTTTCTGTCAGTATTTAGAAAACACAAAATCACATATTAATGTTTGAATCTGCTTTATTCGTAATTATGCTGTTTTTGCCTCTGACATTCCCACAGATCCTGATCATGGCAGCAATCCGAGACTTTGAATATGGCGGCATCGCCGTCGACAGCATCGTGTTGTCCCCCGGCTGCCAAAACTCATCTGGTAGGGCTTTTATTTAAAAAAATAAATTATGTCAGTTTATAAAGAATATTCTGCCTTTAATATGATTACTCTGTCTTCTTCTTAAATAGACAATAACACCCTGGAGGCGTTCCCCAGACCTCCAAAACACCCGTGCACCGATGATCCAAACCAGATGTGTGACTTTCACGCTGACTGTGCCGGAGGAGAAGACGAAGCCAGATGTGGTGGGTGTTTTCATCTTCATCACAGGTCCAGGAACAGGAATTGTAAAAAAGAAATTGACTTGATTCTTTTGTCTGTTTGACTTTTATCTAATTGCTAAGCTAGAATATTTTATTTCTTATCATTTAAACTTCTTTTTGTTTCCTCCTTTTCGAAGGAATGTTTTAGTCCTTTAAAGCAGTGGTTCTCAGTCCTGGTCCTGGAGGGCCGGGATCCAGCACGCTCTGGTTTTAACGGCAGTCCTACACACCTGATTTCAATCAGCAGGTGATTAACAGGCTTCTGCAGAGGCGGATGAGCCGCTGCACCAACTAAAACATGCCGAGCCTCCAGGACCAGCATTGAGCACCACTGAGTTTGGAGGTTTATAATTTTTTTTTTCTTATTTTAGTTTATTTAAGATTTTGAAATAATTTAAATTTTTTTTTACTTTTTTCTTATGTTTTTGTAAAATTTTCAAAACATTTTTATTATTGTTCCTGGTTTACTTTTTCCATGTGTTGTCATACACAAAGTGATAAAACAGGGTTCCTCACCTTTTATGGGAAATGTAGCTTAATGGTTTTAACCCTTTAAAGCCTGAAACATGAAATAACTTCTTTAATTCAAAAACTCCATTTATAGACCAGTTAAATTATTATAGATTAACTGAACCTATTTTATTAGATACCTGTGTGACCTTATAAAGCTGATCAATCTAATATGTACTTATATTTCTTTTTTCTTCCACCCTTCTTGTTTGTCTTTGTTTTCTTTTTCTTTAAATGCAATCAGGAGATCTGCTTTTATTTTGAAAGCCACACCAAAACCACATTTGCTTATATGATCTATTCTAGTTTGTGTCGTTGAGCTAAAGTATGAAAAACACTTTTGTTTGTAACATAATCTGACTTTTATCCCACTCGTTGATGCCGGTTATAAATGTAAAGAACGGCTGACGTCGTCTCTGCAGGCGACTTCTGGAGCTCGGAGGGTAGCTCAGGCTGGACTGATACCAGCATCGGGAGTCAAAGTTGGGCGCTGCATAAAAACTTCACAAGTAAAGGTACCGGTGGTTTTTATCACCTCTCACACATTTCATGCATTATTCCAGACAGGAAGCTGAGAGGAAGAGGAGATTTGTGGATGTTGTGGAACAGGAGAGGAAGTTATTTGGCGTGAGGGTGGAGGATGCAGACGACAGGACTGAAAGGAGAGAGATGATTGGCTGTGGAGACGCCTGTCAAGAGAAAGATGAAGATTTGTATGATAAGATGATTGTTTTTTCCTCAGAGGAGTACCTGTATGTAACCGAGGCTCCGGGCCAGCAGCTGACTGAGGCCCAGACCCGGACCCCTCTCCTGGGCCCCACCGGTCCAGCCTGCAACCTGACTTTTGATTTTGCTCTTTCTGGGACTTCAGATCATATTGGTAACGTCTCTTCAGACACATCCCAGGCGTCTTCCGCAGCTCAGGAATAGGACGGCGATTGTGTGTTTGTGCTTCAGGTGACCTATCCATCAGGGTGATTGACAGCATGCTGGGTCCGGGGCCCAAGCTGTGGGAGTTCGGAGGAAGAACGGGAGCAGAGGAGGATGCCTGGAAGCACGCTCATATCCTTATTGGAGTCAGGAAACACCGCTTCCAGGTTGGCTTTTCAAAATCATTTATCTTTGTTAGAGCACACGGGCTGTTACACTCAGATATAGATAGTTTTTTAAGGGCCACGCCCACCCATGTGACACGCTGGTACATCTGGGAGGAGCTTGGAGTAGAGCAGCTGCTCCTCCACGTCCAGAGCCGAATCCCCCCGAAGCGTGGTGGGGTTCGGTGCTAATTTTCCTCATTGTGATGTCACACTAAGGAGCTTTTTCAAACACCTCAAAGAATCAAATGACAGACTAAAGATGGAGAAGCCTTGTTCTCCGGGCTTTGGGGCTGCTCGCTCTTCTGCCCGGGGGAATTGGGGTGAATCGGCCAGATGTTCGGGGTTTGCCATTATTTAATCTGCTCTGGTTCTGGTTCTGCTCACCTAAGCGTCCTCTCTAAGCAAGAGATGGTCCTGTTGGTCCTTTTTAGAGCAGATCAAACTTTCTTGCTCAGAGCTGTTGGCACTCGGAATGAGACTCGGCTACAAAAACACCAGTTATTAGCTCCACGTCTGTGATGCAAACTGAGTTTTAGCCAGTTCTGTGTTTGCTAACGTTGATCAGCTGTGGCGGCCATGTTGAACCGGGCTGACTCCAGAAGTAAATCGGGAGTAGATGAACATCTGATGATTATTTTCTGAACGGTGGATTAAAATCGACCTGGTGCTCACGAGATGACCTGGATCTGTTCCAGCTGGTGTTGGAAGCCCGCGCCGTGAAAATTCAGCCTAGCGCTACAATCAAAGTGAGGAACGTTCACTTCGTTGGCTGTCACGCTAAATATTTCCCATCAGCACCAACAGGTAACCAGGAGGAGTCGTTTGTTGTTGTTTACACCTTTTCCCGCTCGGGGATGTCAGACCTTCTCTCATTGGTGGACAGGGTTGTCGTGTAACTTTGAAGAGGGATTGTGCGGATGGTATCAAGACAACAGCGACGACTTTGACTGGTCTGTGCTGAGCGGGATGGACCACACCATCGGAGTAGGTAAAAACCAGATTCTTTTGTAATCTCTCTGAGATCCTTGGATTAGATTGTAATCCGGTGAGTGTTGAATTCCGGTTTTGGAGTGGGTTTCTTGTGCACCTCCAGGCAGAAGCCTCTCTGTGGACATGTGGAGTGAATCTCTTCGTGGTGCGTTCGGGCGCTTGCTGTCATTCCCACAGTCACCAGGACCTACAGACTACTGCCTGTCCTTCTTCTACAAACTCTATGGGCCCAATGCAGGTGATCCCACGTGGAAGCAAAGTGTTTTGTTTTCTGATGTTCCTCTTTACCACTTCCTGTTCCCGTCCAGGTGCTTTGAACGTGAAGCTGACCGACTTGTACGGTGCTGAGATCCTCCTGTGGACTCGTTCTGGAGCTCATGGCAACGCGTGGCACGAAGCTCAGTGCCCGGTCCCGCACCAGCTCGCCACCTTCCAGGTACCCAGATCTAGAAGTTGAATAGCTAAACAACACAGACTCGAGGAGGGGATGAAAGAGTGGAATGTGAAGCTTCACAGACATAAATCTGACCAAATCAAACACAGAGACACCGTAAGTCTTCACCCAGACGTGAGCAGAAGCTGCCTTAGCAGGTAGACGTCTCCACACACATATATGAGACTCGTCTGTGTGTGTTTCAGGTCGGTCCTTATTTATTCATGACAAATAACGATAAAAGGACCTAATTTCCATTTCACCTGTTTGACCCACCGACAGCTGGTCTTTGAAGCCGTCCGCTCTGGTTTCGACGGGCGCGTGGCCGTGGACGACGTGACCTTCCTCAACCGTCCGTGTACCATACCACGGATGTGCTCCTTTGAAGGCCAGAACTGTGGATACACAGGATCTGGGAAAATCCGCTTTCTCCATCGAAATGGACATGGCAGCTCAACGACTGGCCCTAAAACCGACCACACCCTGGGGACTGAGCTGGGTCAGAGACGGTCCCGTCTGATGGTTTCACTTAAGGACAAAAACCAGAAGCCGTTTAACCTGCTGCCTGTTTTCTGTCCAGGTTACTACATGATGGTTAACACCGACGCAGCCATCCTTCCACCCGGCACCGCCGCTGTGCTCACCTCCCCCGTTCGACAGGGAACCACCAGAACTGAGTGTGTGAACTTCTGGTACCACATGGGTGGAGAGAAACCTGGTGAGGAGCACACTGATCTCTCACAGAAAGCTCTTTAACACACCATCATCTGACCAGGTGAAGCTTTCAGGTTTCTTCTCCGTGTTCATGAAGACGGAGACAGGAGACCGAGTCCAGATCTTTTATGACAGTCTGAATCAGGGAGACGACTGGCGCCATGGCAACAGCAACATCTCCAGTGGCCTTGTGAACTGGCAGGTCTGTTATCTTCTCCAAATGCTTCAGTGAAACGTGACAATCTGAATTCTTTAGCTGCTGATGTGAACGTGACCCAAACTTTCAGAAAGATTCAAATGAAAATTTATTTCATTTTTACCTCCACAGTTGGAGTTCGAGGTGTTTGGAGCCGGAGGCAAAAACACTCATGTAGCAGTCGATGACATCTACCTGTCGGCTCACCCGTGTGAGGATCAAGGTCCGCTTCACTTCACAATACCAGAACCAGGAAAAATCCAACACAACATTCAGCCATGGTCTCTCGTGGATACCTGATTTTTACTGAATTTGTTCACAAACAGGATTACAAAATTGAACTACATCTATATATATAAATATATATACAGTGGGGCAAAAAAGTATTTAGTCAGCCACCGATTGTGCAAGTTCTCCCACTTAAATTGATAACAGTGGTCAGTAATTTACATCATAGGTACACTTCAACTATGAGAGACAGAATGTGAAAAAAAATCCATGAATTCACATGGCAGGATTTTTAAAGAATTTATTTGTAAATCAGGGTGGAAAATATGTATTTGGTCACTTCAAACAAGGAAAATCTCTGGCTCTCACAGAGCTGTAACATCTTCTTTAAGAAGCTTTTCTGTCCTCCACTCGTTACCTGTATTAATGGCACCTGTTTGAACTCATTATCTGTATAAAAGACACCTGTCCACAGCCTCAAACAGTCAGACTCCAAACTCCACAATGGCCAAGACCAACGAGCTTTCGAAGGACACCAGGAAAAGAATTGTAGACCTGCACCAGACTGGGAAGAGTGAATCTACAATAGGCAAGCAGCTTGGTGTGAAAAAATCAACTGTGGGAGCAATTATCAGAAAATGGAAGACATACAAGACCACTGATAATCTCCCTCGATCTGGGGCTCCACGCAAGATCTCATCCCGTGGGGTCAAAATGATCATGAGAACGGTGAGCAAGAACCCCAGAACCACACGGGGGGACCTGGAGAATGACCTGCAGAGAGCTGGGACCACAGTAACAAAGGTCACCATCAGTAACACACTACAACGGCAGGGAATCAAATCCTGCAGTGCCAGACGTGTTCCGCTGCTGAAGCCAGTGCATGTCCAGGCCCGTCTGAAGTTTGCCAGAGAGCACATGGATGATACAGCAGAGGATTGGGAGAATGTCATGTGGTCAGATGAAACCAAAGTAGAACTTTTTGGTATAAACTCAACTCGTCGTGTTTGGAGGAAGAAGAATACTGAGTTGCATCCCAAGAACACCATACCTACTGCGAAGCATGGGGGTGGGAACATCATGCTTTGGGGCTGTTTTTCTGCTAAGGGGACAGGACGACTGATCCGTGTTAAGGACAGAATGAATGGGGCCATGTATCGTGAGACTCTGAGCCAAAACCTCCTTCCATCAGTGAGAGCTTTGAAGATGAAACGTGGCTGGGTCTTCCAACACGACAATGATCCCAAACACACCGCCCGGGCAACAAAGGAGTGGCTCCGTAAGAAGCATTTGAAAGTCCTGGAGTAGCCTAGCCAGTCTCCAGACCTCAACCCCATAGAAAATCTGTGGAGGGAGTTGAAAGTCCGTGTTGCTCGGCGACAGCCCCAAAACATCACTGCTCTCGAGAAGATCTGCATGGAGGAATGGGCCAAAATACCAGCTACTGTGTGTGCAAACCTCGTAAAGACCTATAGTAATCGATTAACCTCTGTTATTGCCAACAAAGGTTATGTTACAAAGTATTGAGTTGAATTTTTGTTATTGACCAAATACTTATTTTCCACCCTGATTTACAAATAAATTCTTTAAAAATCCTGCCATGTGAATTTATGGATTTTTTTTTCAGATTCTGTCTCTCACAGTTGAAGTGTACCTATGATGTAAACTACTGACCTCTGTCATCATTTTAAGTGGGAGAACTTGCACAATCGGTGGCTGACTAAATACTTTTTTGCCCCACTGTATATACATATATATGATACAGACATGGAACGCCTCAACCAAGTAGCTGGCATCGTGTACAGGAACATCTGTGTACAGTATGGACTGGAAGCTCCAAGGGGGTAGAGAACGAGAGAACCAAGCTCCTGTGGGACTTCCAGATCCAGACTGATAAAACGGTGATGGAAAACCAACCGGACATTGTGGTGGTGGACAAACAACAGAGGACAGCCGTTGTGGCTGATGTGGCGATACCAAGTGATGTTAACATCCAGAAAAAGGAACACGAGAAACTAGAGAAGTACCAGCGCCTCAAAGAAGAACTTGAGAAAGCCTGGAGAGTGAAGACATCGGTGGTACCCGTGGTCATCGGGGCACTCGGGGCAGTAACCCCCCACTGGAGGAGAGGCTAAAGCAGATCCCAGGAAAAACATCAGACCTCTCAGTCCAGACAAGTACAGATCTAGGACCAGCTAAGATACCGCAGAACCCTCTGGTAGAAGACCCAAGCTTGGAAGGATGAGACCACCTGTAGAGGGTTAGATGGGAAATTTTGTAGTTTTTTTTTATACTTACATACATACATACAGGTGCTGGCCAGTAAATTAGAATATCATCAAAAGGTTGAAAATATTTCAGTAATTCCATTCAAAACGTGAAACTTGTACATTATATTCATGCAATGCACACAGACCAATGTATTTCCGATGTTTATTACGTTTAATTTTGATATTTATAGGTGACAACCAATGAAAACATCAAATCTGGTATCTCAGAAAATTAGAATATTCTAAAGGCCAATGAAAAAATGTTTGTTTCTCTAATGTTGGCCAACTGAAAAGAATGAACATGAAAAGAATGTGCATGTATAGCACTCAATACTTAGTCGGGGCTCCTTTTGCCTCAATAACTGCAGTAATGCGGCGTGGCATGGACTCGATCAGTCTGTGGCACTGCTCAGGTGTTATGAGAGCCCAGGTTGCTCTGATAGTCGTCTTCAGCTCCTCTGCATTGTTGGGTCTAGCGTATTGCATCCTCCGCTTCACAATACCCCATAGATTTTCTATGGGGTTAAGGTCAGGCGAGTTTGCTGGCCAATCAAGGACAGGGATACCATGGTCCTTGAACCAGGTGCTGGTGGTTTTGGCACTGTGTGCAGGTGCCAAGTCCTGTTGAAAGGTGAAGTCTGCATCCCCATAAAGTTGGTCAGCAGCAGGAAGCATGAAGTGCTCTAAAACTTCCTGGTAGACGGCTGCATTGACCCTGGACCTCAGGAAACAGAGTGGGCCAACACCGGCAGATGACATGGCACCCCACACCATCACTGACGGTGGAAACTTTACACTGGACCTCATGCAACGTGGATTCTGTGCTTCTCCGCTCTTCCTCCAGACTCTGGGTCCTTGATTTCCAAAGGAAATGCAGAACTTGCTTTCATCAGAAAACATAACTTTGGACCGCTCAGCATCAGTCCAGTCCTTTTTGTCCTTGGCCCAGGCGAGACGCTTCTTGCGCTGTTTCTTGTTCAAGAGTGGCTTGACACACGGAATGCGACACCTGAATCCCATGTCTTTCATGAGTCTCCTCGTGGTGGTTCTTGAAGCGCTGACTCCAGCTGCAGTCCACTCTTTGTGGATCTCCCCCACATTTTTGAATGGGTTTGTCGTCACAATTCTCTGCAGGGTGCGGTTATCCCTAGAGCTTGTACACTTTTTTCTACCACATTTTTTCCGTCCCTTCGCCTGTCTGTTAATGTGCTTGGACACAGAGCTCTGCGAACAGCCAGCTTCTTTAGCAATCACCTTTTGTGTCTTGCCCTCCTTGTGCAAGGTGTCAATGATTGTCTTTTGGACAGCTGTTAAGTCAGAAGTCTTCCCCATGATTGTGGTGCCTTCAAAACAAGACTGAGGGACCTTTTAAAGGCCTTTGCAGGTGTTTTGAGTAAATCAGCTGATTAGAGTGGCAGCAGGTGTCTTCTATATTCAGCCTTTTCAGAATATTCTAATTTTTTGAGATACCAAATTTGGAGTTTTCATTAGTTGTCACTTATGAATATCAAATTTAAATGTAATGAACATTGGAAATACATTGGTCTGTGTGCATTGCATGAATATAATGTACAAGTTTCACGTTTTGAATGGAATTACTGAAATATTTTCAACCTTTTGATGATATTCTAATTTACTGGCCAGCACCTGTATATATTCATATCTGCACAAGAAGAGTATTTCATTTAATCACTAGACATTGCAAAGATATGCGTATCGCATATAAATTAGTAACTGGATGATTTCCAGATGATGTAGTTAGTTCAGAGGAGGATGAAGGAGGAAGTGTTGCTTATGTCATTATAATTTCAGTGAAAACCTAGATTCCTTTGATCTGATTGGTGGATTGTCTTCTAGTTTCTTGGTCTGTAAAACGAATGTGAGTCCATCTTCAGCACCAAGAACTGGATCTGGGTCACGCATCAGTAACTTTGGCGGATTCATTCTAGGTTTTATTTGGACTTCAGCTGCTGTTGTATTAACTTCAAGCCCTTTTAGAGAAAATTGCTCAATAAAAAAGTTGAATGAAGAGTACAGGTGGAGGAAAAGTTGCAGATGATCAGAATCAAATTCATGAAAGCCCTGAGAGGTGCTGCATCCAGCAGTTACTCGTCACGGCAGGACTTCATAAATCACGTTTTTGATACAAAAATCGTATTTTCTGTTTGTCAAACTTTGATAGTTTTGTTTTCTATGAATTCTACAAACCTGGGGGAGGACAGGAAGTAAGGCTCCATATATTCGAATCGCTTTGTTTATCGTCGTCCCTTGTTTTGTCCCGTTTGCGTCTCAGGATCCCGGTGCAGCCTGGAGAAAGGAATGTGCAGCTGGAGCAACACTCCGAACCACCAACAGGACAAACTGGACTGGGAGCGGACGAGTCCCGAGGCGGAGACGCACTATCCCACCCCGACCGAGGACCACACCCTGGGATCGGATAAAGGTCAAGCTCAGCAACGGCACCATTTGATTGTTTTATTTGAGGGTTTCACTTCTTAACCATAATATTCACTTCTCTGTACTCCAGGTCACTTTCTCTTCCTTCCGAGCAGCACCAGGACAGCAGCCAATCAGAACGCTTGGCTGCTGAGCCCTCACCTGCCCCCAGCTAAGGTCACCTGTCTGAGATTCTGGGCCTACAAACCCCATTCATGTGAGCACAAATCTTCTAACGGAGCTCCCCGTCTCGTCTTTGTGTGACGCTTTCATCCATGTGTGCAGCGGACGGCCAGCTGAAGGTCTGGAAGCTCTCTGGAGGTCTTCTCCATCAGCTGCTGCTGCTGAGCCAACTGGGAGGACCTTGGAAACGCTTCGACATAAACATCACGTCTTCTGAGGAGTACCAGGTCGGACTTTCCACTTAAATGCTAAACTATATAGCATCACGGCTGCTAAACCTGCTGTTGCTTTGTGTGTCACAGATTGTCTTTGAGGGGATCAAAGGAACCTCAGGCGTCGTTGCTCTGGATGATATTGAATACGTAATCGGGAGCGACTGTTCTAAAAAAAGCCCAGAATCGGGTAAGATGTGAAATCTGCCTCCATTTTTTATGAAATGTTATGAAAGGTTCTCAAATTACTTGAATCGGCGATTAGTCACGTGATCAAGTGAGAGAGGTTCAGTTTTAATAAAGAAGGCTTCATGACTCATGAGAGAGTCCAGCAGCACCAGGACCTTCTCCTGAAGCAGATCCAACCATCAGAGCTGGTTCATGAAAGGCAGCGATGAGAAGACCTGTGGAGGATGGCCTGAGGCTAAGAAGGGCAGCCAAGAAACCACTTCTCCTAGAAAACCATCAGGGGCAGCCTGATGTTCTTATAAAGGTCCAGGCATTGGACTGCGGAGGACTGAGGGGAAGCCAGTTTCTCTCTGATTGTTTGGGACATCTGGATAAGAAATGATGATGATGATGAACACTCACATTAATCCTATGTCCTACCAACAGGAACGCCTCCTGGGACCATTCATGTGTGGGGGTGGTCTCAGAGTTCAGCCTTAGAACACAGACAGGAACAAAGAATGGTACCGAGACATCCTCCCAGGGGAACTCCTCTCAACCATTCAAGAACCTTTCAGTGGTGAATGGTGCATATTCCAGCTTGATGGAGTGCCGCTCTATAAGGCTCAGCTCAGAAAAACTTGGCTTGGAGAAGAAAATATTAACATTTTAGGTCCGTGTCCAGAAAACGCCCCAGAACTTTATCCCGCTGAGAGCTTCTCAATCCCCAAGGTGGACGAACAAAAACAAATTCTATCAAGGTCCAAGCTTGGATTATAAAGGATGGGCTGCCATGAGTTAAAGCTGGATCCGAGACTTATTATTACCATGTTAGGGTGAACTGTAGTCTGACAGAAAGAATTCTGCCTTTAAATGTACTGCCGTTACCATGGAAACGTGACACAAGATCTCAAAATCAGCAATCGTGGTGGTTTCTCCAGTGTAGTTATGAGCTTGAAATGTTTTATTACAGCTTCCAACCAACGGAACGATGCAGGAGGGATCGCAGCAGCTGTGATTGTGGTTCTGCTGCTGATCGGACTGTTGGTCTTCCTGCTGGTCTTCTACCTTCGGACCAAACCGAGATCCCAGACTGAAACCGATTCTACCGTCGGCTTCAGTAACAAAGCTTATGAGTCAGACCACACAGTGAGTTCATCCATCGCTTTGGACTTAAATAATGAGCTGCTTTTATTCTCCTTTATTTATTTGTGCAATTTGAAAGTTTAATGAGATTAATTAAGGCATTAATTACCAACAATCAAAGATTTATAGAAGAAAATCATGAAGATTAACAAGGCTGCCCACACTTTCACATCCCAGTGTATTACATGCCCCTGAGACGATCCACCACATACCTGCAGGGTGTCAGATGCTGGCAGGGAAAGCAGACATGGAACGCCACGACCAAGTGGCTGGCATCATGTTCAGTATGAACTGGAAGCCCCATGGTCAAAGTGGGTAACAGACAGCTGTTGTGGTTGATGGGTCATCGGGGCAGTAACCCCCAAACTGGAGGAGTGGCTAAGACAGAATCCAGGAAAAACAACAGCTACGATACCGCGCAGGACCCTCAAGCTCACAGGCCTCTGGTAGAGAACCCGAGCTTGGAAGGATGAGACCACCCCTCTCGTCCTGTGTACATATACACACTCACCTAAAGGATTATTAGGAACACCTGTCCAACTTCTCCTAAATGCAGTTATCTAATCAACCAATCACATGACAGTTGCTTCAATGCATGTAGGGGCGTGGTCCTGGTCAAGACCATCTCCTGAACTCCAGACTGAAGGTCCTAATGGAAGAAAGGTGATGTAAGCTATTGTGAGCGTGGCGTGGTTGTTGGTGCCAGACGGGCCGGTCTGAGTATTTCACAATCTGCTCAGTTACTGGGATTTTCACCCACAACCATTTCTAGGGTTTACAAAGAATGGTGTGAAAAGGGAAAAACATCCAGTATGCGGCAGTCCTGTGGGCCAAATGCCTTGTTGATGCTAGAGGTCAGAGGTGAATGGGCCGACTGATTCAAGCTGATAGAAGAGCCTAACCCTCGTTACAACCGAGGAACGCAGCAAAGTGTTTGTGAAGCCGCAACACGCCCAACCTTGAGGTGGATGGGCTACAACAACAGAAGACCCCACCGGGTACCACTCATCTCCACTACTAATAGGAAACAGAGGCTACAGCTAGCACCAGATCACCAAATGTGGACAGTTGAAGACTGGAGAAATGTTTCCTGGTCTGATGAGTCTCCATTTCTGTTGAGAGATGGTAGAGTCAGAATTTGGTGAAATAGAATGAGAACATGGATCCATCATGCCTTGTTACCACTGTGCAGGCTGGTGGTGGTGGTGTCATGGTGTGGGGAAGTTTTCTTGGTACACTTTAGGCCCCTTAGTGCCAACTGGGCATGGTTTAAATGCCACGGGCTACCTGAGCATTGTTTCTGACCGTGTCCATCCCTTCACGACCACCATGTACCCATCCTCTGATGGCTACTTCCAGCAGGATAATGCACCGTGTCGTAAAGCTCCAATCATCTCAAATTGGTTCCTTCAACATGACGATGAGTTCACTACTACAACGGCCCCCACCGTCACCAGATCTCAACCCGATAGAGCATCTTTGGGATGTGGTGGAACGGGAGCTTCGTGCCCTGGATGTGCATCCCACACATCTCCATCAACTGCAAGATGCTGTCCTGTCAATATGGCCGACATTTCTAAAGATGCTTTCAGCACCTTGTTGGATCAACGCCATGTACAATTAAGGCCGTTCTGACGGCGAAAGGGGGT